AATTAAATCATGTTTAATCCATTCTGGAATTGATTCGAGGAAATGATTAAGATTTACTTCCTAGCTTTTTAATATAGATATTTTGAGTATTTTTACGTATTTTTGCCTTGTCGGGAAGTGAAAACTGAATTAATTGAATGAGAAATACTGAATCGTCGGTGAAAAACTGTTTCTTTTTTGTTTAATTTCTTTTATACATCGTTTTAGATTTATTATAATATTTGAATAGAACGTGTGGATTAGATAATTCTTCAAATGATATAAATTTATATGCATTCTAAGTTATAATATGAACGAAATATAACGCTGTTAAGTGAACCTAACGCCAGAGTGTCGCTATGCTAAACAAATATATTGCATTTTAGAGAGTGTATTTATTCGATTGGGGTTTATGCGCTATTGACCAAGTAGATTTAATTCAAACTAATAAGTTTAAATGATATGCCAGAAAAAACGCGCATGATTCAACATTCCGTGCACGAAAGTCATGTGGCGTACACATCAGATTTTTTTATCATACACCACTGCAGTACTTCAAGTTTGCGGTAGCGAACTTGAGAAAATCAAGCTCTTCTGAAGAGAAAATCAAGCTAATATTATAGACCATAGACCGTCACGTTTATAAGAGGTGTACGACCCGTGAGGGCCTTTACCAATCTATTATTGTTTCCTTTTCGGAAAGATCATCTGGAATAGTGAACCTGAATAATCAGGGGCTTTCTGGAGAAATTTTTGTTATGACTGTACTAAGAAGCTGTTTGGAAGGAAATTTTTGGTGTGAAATACATGTTTGAGATAGAATATTTAATTTTCTTTTCATGAGTAATTCTTATTTTTCTATTTCTTGGGTAAATACTGTACATTTAATTCCTATACAAAACATTTTTGCGGTACTTAGTAATATATTTTTTACGACACGGTACGTTGAAAGAGTACATATTAAACATTTTTTGTCCTTTATATGATTCTTGAATGCATTTTCCTGAGTATAATATACATTTTTCTTCTCTATATTCATATTACTAGTAATTTCAATAATTCTATGTACATAATTGTGTTTGATTCTAGATATATGTAGCAGGCTTTCTTGATTATTTGCTAAAAAATTGACTAAATAATTGATTTTAAAAAATTTTTACAGGTCCTTTGCGATTTTTGGTTCCCCTGAGGGTCGAACCGATGATGCTATGAGAAGCGCAGTGGTAGTGGGTTTTACCGCTCGACTACGGTACACTTGTTCTTTTTTTTCACCAATTGCTATAACAAATTACAAAAATATCATTACGCATTACACTGCTGTTTGTAATGTTAGTGGTAGCAAGGCCAACTTATACGCAAGTGTGAGCCTACCAGTGTGAAAATATTCTTTTGTGTTTTCAGTGGCCTTCATGAAATTTCTACTGACCGCAAGAGGGCGCTACCATTCCGCTACGCTTTGCGACGTTAACAATGAGCAAAATGGTACCCCAGACAAATATTTGTCTTGTTATATGCAAAATTTAGAAACGATTAATCTGTAGTAGTCAGAAATTATACATTTCTTTTTAATAAAAATATTTTTATTTAGAAAGAAAGTATGAAATTTCAAGTTGCGCCAGCCCCCCCCCCCGTTTTTTTTTTTTTTTTTTTTCGTTTATAACCTCAGCTACTTGATTCTGATAAATTATGAAATTAATAAATGATGATCCAAGTATCCTAATTCCTGCTTGCACTATTTTTAATTGTACTTATTTGAGTTACTTACTGTAATTTAAGGGTAAGTTAGAGCACATGTTTTACTTTTAAATTATTTATATAGTACGAAGTTAGCAAGTAGCTTCAGAACATAAACTGTTTCAGCGCAAAATTTTCATAGTATTAATATCAGTTGTCCTGTGCAACAAAATAATTTGGAACCACTCCTAAGCATGTAATTATGAAATTAATAAATGATGATCTAAAATTTGTTAATACATAAGGGAAAAAGTATTTCTAAAAGAGATTTTTTTTAGGTACTGAAGATTTTTTCTCTTTTTTAATTAATATAAAATACTTTTTTAGGAAATATTAAAATATAATTTTAAATAATACAGATTTAGAGACCTGAAGAGTAAACGCAATACTACACATATTCAAAATAATACCAAGTATTTCAATACCATCTAAGCATATAATAATAACATGTATGACATTAATCACAATGTATTATCACATTTGTCAATATACTCCCTCTGACCCAAATTAGTTGCTACATTTGAGTACTGATTATTGATACTGAAGATTTTTATGATTTTTTTTGCACATTTTCCAGAAATTTCAGGGAGCGTTATGAATCGACAACAACTTTACTTAACTTCCCCCCTCTTAAGTCAGTACTAAATTAGTTTCAAAAATCCGGCTTTCGCTCACTCTTAAGCCACGCCCCATTTTATAAGGACTCTTCCATCAGTAATCGCTTAAAATCTTTAAGCTAATTAAATGTAAATTCAGTTATCTGTCTTGTCTATACGAGCCAGTTTCCTTAGAAATTCTTCCACGAAGGCCTTCCTCACCTTAGGCAGACAGACCTCGAGGTTTTGCCTTAATCACATAAACACCATCTTTCTGAAATATATGGGGGGGGATATTCCTTACAAAATGGGGCGAACCCTCTAAATTTGCGTTGATAAATTGTCCCAAAATAAGTGCTACATTTGTCTAAAGTAAAATCTGAGAAGAAAATCTAGTATGCAGCGTTACATTCCCTGTAGCACACTGTATAATTTTACTGACGTCGATCTACGAAACTGCGTCGAAAGTCACTTATGACCCCACCTACTTGAAGTGTAGCAACTAATTTGCGACAAAACTTTCGACCTAAGTGCAGAAACTAGTTTGAGTCGGAGAGGATATAAAATTTTTGAGACTGCTAGTGTTGAATACCAAGTATTTCAATATCATTGACAGCATATTTTAAAAAATAAAGTCATATTCCCTAAAACAAAAAGTAATACCTCTGTTAATTACATATATATATATACTATATGGATTCGACATGAATCTCTATTACTTCAAGTGCAACCACAAAACACTCAACCAGGTAGACACAAATTCATGCACAACATATTGATACATCACACTAATTAAAATTAGATATGTGCTTTAAAATTTTTAAAGCTAGTACAGACAGTATTCAAATGTTTCTGGATCAAAGATAAATCCTAAAAAGTAATAAATTTCGTAAAAAAAAGCTAACGCAATTAGCATTTCTTATAAAATATATACGTGGATGCATTCTTAAATTTTAATTGCATTAAATTCATATGTATATATATGATGCATTAAAATATCATTTATACAGAAAACAGACATTGTCTCCAGTATGATTTAAAAAAAAATATGTTATTTGTATTTCATGAAGATAAGAAAATGATTATGCTAGACCTGGCTAAATCATTTGACCGCGCCTGGCATACAGGACTTCTTTACAAATTGATTCAACTTAGCCTGCCCAGAGAGTTAATTCTGATCCTAAAGTCCTTTCCTGAAAAGCGCACTTTCTCAGTGAAGCAGGGCTACTACTGCTCCTCCCCGTGTTCTATCCAAGGTGGTGTAGCTCAGGACTCTTATCTTAGGCCCAATTTTGTACTTCATATATATGTTCATGATTTTCGAAATTTCTCACAGGATAACTTTATACTTACATGTTACGCTAATGATACGACGCTCATTGAAGGATCCCGGAGACCTAACCACACCCTCCAGAAACTTCAAAGTAAAATCCCAGACATCGAAAAGTGGTGTGCTAGATGGAAAACCAGCATTAATCCTATTAAACCGCAGATTCTGCTGATCAGAAAGTACAAACTTAAAGACTCTATCACCAGCTCAGTAACCCTTTTCGAAGAGCAAGTACCGATCGTCATCTCGGGGTAACATTCAATAGGTCATTTACCTGGAGCACTCATATCAGAATCACCCGGGGCAAAACATATGGACTTATACGAAATCTTTACTTTCTTGTCTCGGATTACTCAGGTCTAGATCTGGCAAGAAAGAACAGAATCTATATAGTAAGACCTATCCTTACCTATGCTTCACCGGTGTGGGCAAGCGGCACTTTATGATTTCTCTGAACATTGAACTCTTTTAGTTTAGTTTATTTAATTATGGCAAAGCATACTAGGGCTACTTAAGGGGAGGGATGCCTTCGTGGAGAAAAATAAGAAGCCTTCGTGGAGGACTTTCTAAGGGAAACTGGCTCGTATACACGTTATACATGGGGAAAACTACGAAAACGCCCATACAGCCAGCCCGTTTGTGGGATTCGAACCTCGGACCGAACTACCGGTGTTCAGCGAATTTACCGCTCGGCCGCTGGTGGGCTCAAAATCTTACTGAGACAAAGTGTCTCAAATTTCTCTGATACACGTTCGCGTTTCGAGCGCTTTGCTAAGGAATTTTCATCACAAGGCCCATTGTGGACAAAATTGATAGAACAGGAAAGTACTGTATATTGCAGTAGAATGCCTGTATAAAACACATAAGCATTCAAATTATGACATGAAGCTGAACGCACATATTAAGAAGCTTATTTATATACAAAAGCTGAGCGAAAGAAACATAGCAAAAGAATTTTAAAGGTTTAAAATTTTATGTGATGGTGGCTTTTGTTTAAGAAATTTTGTATTATGTATTTGGATTAAATCTGTATTACATTAAACTGATGGAAATGCTATTCCTGCAACAGTTATATGTTGCGAATAGAATCGTAAAATTTTTTTAAAGAAAGATAACTTTGCAGTAGAGAACTCAACAATATACCATCCTGTGTTACTATTAGTTTCAGCGACACATTTTAATAAAATACACTTTTTGTTAATAACGAACAACGTTACAACTAGAGAGAACGTATAGCAAAAGTGTAGCAGAATTCGAGCCCCACTAAAATACTTTATATACACACTCGTATTGGCCTTGTGCTATCATAGGTAAGGAGTACATGTGTAAGAACTCTGTATAAACCTTCTCTTCACAAATTAGGGGCAGATCACAACAACCCAGTAGCCAGCGAAAGTAGGCAAGCCACACAGGGACGACCTGTACCCCGCCAAAAATTAATACCAAGAGATGCTTGGTAGTGCCAAGCGTCACCAAGGCACGTTATTTTCCTTACTCATTAGTTTAAGGCACGATTAGAGAAAGTTTAAATTATAATATGGTAAAGTTTATTTTACAGAAAAAAACGGTGGTTACATTGAACTACTATGTACATTTTTAGCTCAAAAGGCGTTATTGCAGATTGATTATTACTTTCCTTTTGGCATTTTGCGCCGAAAACTTAAAATCTAAATCGCTTTTCAAATTTTTGCCATCAAATATTATTGACCTGCATTGTATTTAAAGAAATTAAATAATGAAGAATATGTATAAATGTATGTGTGAGTTCTCCTATTGTGTTTAAAAGAATGGTACCTATAGCCATCAAATTTTGAGTAATTTTATTATCTATTTCATATTTTGTGAAATTTTAACGAACATTTGATTAACGATTCCAAAGCGAGCAATATTAAAATTGTGCGAAAAAAAAATTATCTCCAGCCCGCGAGACTTGGTATCGGAAAATTTAATCGGAAATGCTATTTTAAAATTATTTTGTGATAGTGTTGTTGAATTTAAAGTTTACGATTGGGTGCCCCTTGTCCTTGGCGATTCTTTTTTGACGCCAAGATTGGCGCCAAAGTGGCACAATTTGAAGATGGCCGCTACACAAAACCAAAATAAGAAGTCAAAGAATTGCACAAACTCTGTGTCTATGTACACATCGATCTGCTTTCACTTTAAAAAAACACATCCTAGACTTGCACAAACTAGACATTGCGCACTGCCTTAAATTTGTCCATGTACACATCAATCTATTTTCATTTAAATAAAATCAGGAAGCTAAAACAAAGTTAAAACTTTCATGGTATCCAGAAGTGAAGTTTCATCGCCAAAATTTTTAAAAAAAATTGTCGCTAATCGAAGGGGCACCCAATTCTACACTAGAGCCTTGAATTTTATGATTTAAGTGCGAAGAATAAGATATTTAATAAATAAAGGTAGCGTTAAAAAGAACGCCCCTTTGGGCGTAATATAAAAATCTGAAAGCTTTGAGATTTTTTTTCATTTTGTTTCTATTTGAACAATATATTCTGATACATCACAGTATTCATTAGTACTCATAATATATTAAGGTACTTACGTATTAACGCAACCAGGCCAAAATTCGCATAAATTGCCAAATTTGGCGACCCTACTTACGGCAACCCTACGTGTTATACGTAGTTTTGTAAAAAGAGCATGTGGAGATTCACAAAATTTTCCTGCATTTTCGTGCAAATTTTTGTAATTTATGAGAAAATAGCAGTGTAGATGGATAAAGTCAAGAGTGTGCGCAATGCCATTCTTGTGCAATTCTGGGATGTTTTTTAAGTAAAAATAAGTCGACGTGTACATGGTTATGGCGAATACGGTTTTCAATCAGTGCTAAAAGCAATAGCCAAAAGATTTCCGCCGAAAAAATAATTCTGCAACTTATTCAAATTCGAAACCGGAAGGGTTTAATTGCTATTTTATATTTTAAAACAAAATAATATAAAAAACTGTATTAAAAATTATCTGTAATTAATAAATGTACATTTTCTTTCTATTCATACTTTTTTACTCAAACTTACAAATCGCGCCAACCTGGTTGCGATAATACGTAAGTACCCATATTAATTATGGTTGCAGCCATTCAGTACAAAGATAAAGTTTGATACTTGCACTTTTGTGTCATACTGCTCCACAGTAGGGGATTGCTTAGCCTGCTCTTACCAATTCCATAATGAGTCTCAAACGGCGCTGGTGGAGGTGAAAAACATTAGCGAAATAGCTAACGAACAGTTATCCCATCAATGTATGATTAGAGAGACTTTCTATTGGCTAGTGGAGAATAACAGAATTAAGTAAAATTAGGGGATTCCGAGGATGGACGGCGAGGGTGACGGTCGCTCGTATAACGAGCTCCCGCCAACGCAGGGCAATTCTCCGAATTTTTGCGAAATAATGTGGTTATTGATGAAGATATGAGTGAGACCAGGGATCATGCTCCCTCTGTGCAATCGGCGTCGCCAGATGACGAGCGCATGAACCTCGTATCACAGTTTTACGATCTGAAGCAACAGTTTGAAGCTATACCAGAGGCAGAAGAGCTTCATGAAGCGAAAACTCCAACTCCACTGGACACTAATGGATACGATCAACTCGACCGGGCGGGTAAGTCACTTTTTCACAAGATAATGACATTGCTAATGCTCTAGATGTTCCAATTTTTCATCTTCCCTCAACTAGAGAGGAATTTTTAAATATATTGGAGAGCGAGCGCTTAGCCAAGATGGCCGCCGCTCAATCCGCAGAAGATCCTTGCAAGCACGAGGCATCTAATCCCACGCACGAGGTGCGGGGGAAACCAGTCCAGTCTACGTCATCGCGGAAGCGAAAGACGCAGACAATAGACTCAGACGGGTTTATCACCCCCGCGGCTCGAAAGCAAGGGAAGGCGCCTATTGTGGATCTCACAATAGATGATTTGGCTTTAAACGCTAAAGATACAAATAGTTCTATTCCAAATTCTAAATTGACAGCCATCGAAAAAAATGCTACTCCTAAAAAGGAGAGGAATACTAACAAGTATGAGAAAATCAAAAACTCATTAATCAATGAGCAATCTAATGAAGCAGAAATTGTTACTGCAAGTAAAAGTGAGGGAGTTAATTCCGAGCAGGCACGGAACGTACCCCCCCCCCCACCGCAGTCTGAGATTCCGGCAATACATCTCAAAAGCAGCAAAAACTGGAAGACGCAAGTGTCTTTCATGAGAGAAATTGCCCCAAACTTACGGAGCATCCTGACTGGACCTTATCTCAAAATTTTTGTTCAGACAGAGCTGGAGTTCAGGGAGGTTACCCGCTGGATGAAGCAAGCCGGCATCCAGTTCAAAACTTTCGACTTAAAGCAGGACCGGCCAGTCAAAATTGTTATCAGAGGCCTCCCTGTTGAAACTGAAATCGGGGATATCAAAGAGGAAGTTGAGGCGATGGGATTTAAAGTGCATCGCATCGTTCGGCTTACTCAGCCTGGCTCCAGACATCCCAATGCCACTTGTATATTTACAAGTTATCCCACACCCCTTCCTCGATCATCTGTTTGCCGTCACTGACATGTGGGGCACAGAGATCAGCATTGAGCGTTACCGCGGCCGCAAGGGCCCTACTCAATGCTTTCGGTGCCAGGGCTTTTTCCATTCTTCGGAACTCTGCACCCTTCCAATCCGTTGTGTCAGATGCTCTGGACCCCATTGGGCACGTGAGTGTACCAAAGGATTAGATGTACCAGCCACTTGCTGCAACTGCGGTGGAGATCACCCAGCTTCGTACAAATCTTGTCCCCGATACCCAGGCAACAAACGGGCTCGCGGTAAAAATTCCGCGCCTAGGACTAGGGCAGCTGCTCAAACAGCCCCCCCCGCAGGGTTCTTCTAAGCCCCCAGCAAATGCTGAGACAAGACGTCCCATGCCTGCTCCCCCGAGCAACGTCAGTTCACCATCTTATGCACAGATGGTGAAGAACACCACCGAGCACGGATTCAAATCCACGAATCCAAGACTGCCGGTTGCAGAAGCCCCTGCAGCCCCAGCAGTGTCAGCCACAGCAGAGTGTAGCAATGATTCAGACGACGTCTTCTCATCTACACTAAAATGCTTAATTGAAATCTCCCGCGACCCAGCGGTAGACAAGCATATTCTGCTCCTTGCCTTCAAAAAAGCAATGCCTAAACTCAGGCAAGCAGATGCTTTAATGAGGGCATTTTATATTTATGAAAGCTATGTTGAGCTTTCAACCTAATTAGGCTTTTTTAGACCCATGTCTTCTGTTTTTTCAGTGATGAACCTTTAACAACGGCATAAAATTCAATTGTATAAATAACAGTTCAAACACCATCAGAGAACTGACCATTTGCACATGGAATGCCAATGGTTTAACTTCAAAAATTCACGAAGTTCGTGATTTTGTTGTAGAGCACGATATTGACGTGTTTTTAGTCCAAGAGACTCACCTTACCCCAGGGAATACTCCCAAAATTGGGAATTATGACATTTATTGTACTGACAGGGTGTCACAGGGCAGAAATCCCTGTGGCGGCACTTGTATCTATGTGAAGCGTTCGTTAAAGCACCACATGATACCGACCCCTGATTTAAATTTTTTGGAAGCGACAATCATCAAAATTTTCCTTCAAAATTCCTCCCCGCTAACAATAGTCTCAGCTTATTTACCTCCACTGTCTACAGCGCGTGGAAGGCCAGCTTTTCCTGTCAGTGATTTTGATAAAATTTTGAATATTTCAAATCACCTAATAATTGCTGGTGATCTAAATTCACGCCATACCGCATGGTTTTGTTCTAACAGGAACAGGTATGGTATTAGTCTAAATTCATGGTGCCAGAGTAACCATGTACAGATCATAGCTCCTACCCTCCCGACCTTTTTACCCTCATAGAGGGTCCCCTGCAGTTCTTGATCTGGCTGCCTTTTATAACATATTCTTTCGGCATGAGATAAAAGTGATTCAGGAATTGGACTCTGATCACTACCCCCCCGTTTTGATATCCCTAGATATTCAAAATCGATACTCAAAATTAGAGGAGCAAGTCTCAACAAATTGGGACGACTTTAGATTTATTTTGGAAAAAACTTCACTCCCTCCCATCATCAAATTTCCAGCAATTCGGACTTTGACAGGCATATCAAAAGTTTGGAGTCTTTACTGAAAGAAGCGAGAGCTGCGGCTTCAAAGCCACGTAAACATCCAGGTGCTAGGCTCCCACCTGAGACTAAATTCAAAATTAAGCAGCGAAATTACTTGCGAAGAATTTGGCAAAGGTCACGAGATCCCAATATCCGTGCCCAATTTCGCAAGATACAGAACGAGATAAGGACCGAAACCCGCTTATTAAAACAAGCGGAGTGGAAAACATTCATTGAGTCCCTAACGACTGAAGACAAATCGATTTGGCGCGCAGCCGCCCGATTACGCAAACATAAACACACATTCCGCCCCTTCAAACGGCCGATGGCGCGCAGATGGCCTACACTGACTCAGAAAAGGC